ATCGGGCCAGCCCCTGTTTAGCTCTTATACAGGAGGAAGTATACTGCTTTCCAACCCTGGGCCTCCACCTGGGTCATGTTTCCACACAGGAGCTTAGTCTAGCAATCCTCATTTTAAAAAGACCTTTATTCGCAGGTGGCATGGTGGTTAAGGTGTCAGACTCCCTCATGGCCAACCATGGTTTGAGTCCCAGACATGGCGGCTTGCTTTCTCATTTCCCCTTTCTCTCTCTCTCTCTCTCTCTCTCTCTGCCTCTATTTGTGTCACATCAAAATAATAATAATAAAGTCAAATGAATAATTAAAAAAAGACCTTTAGTCTCATCACTTCACACTCAGGGCTGAGGCACTTTCACAACCTGGTGAGTCTTGCCCTAAGTTCCATGGGACTTTGGCTATGACAGACTCCCTAAGTGCTGGTGATCCCTAGAGTTGTAGAAGTGTTCTCTGTTCAACTGTGCCCCAGGGACCTGCACATGTGGTCTGATTCCTTCATGGCCCCTTTTGGCAAACCACTCTCCTACCAGTTTATTACCATGTGTGGAAGATCAGATAATATCCACACTGCTAGGCTGCAAGAGTGGTTGGTTTGTAAGCTGTGCTGTTCCATTCAGAAGACTCTTTCTTGGTGGCTCAGCTGCTGGGAGTCTACTTCATGGATTGCCTTAGCTACAGAGAGGTCTTGGCTACAAAGAGCCATATTGCCCAAGGTAAAATCTCTTTTTAAACAAATCCACAGAGATAAAGGCAACTTTGAAAAGCTATTCTAGCTCTAGGGCTCCCTGTGGTTTGACCAGGGCTATCATTAGACCTGCATTGCAGCTCAACTTCTCCCTAGCCCCACTCCTGCCTTCTTCTCCACCTTCCACACACATTCATCTCAAGGACACTCCTAACTAAACATCTTGCACATTAGATTCCATCTGCTTCCAACCTGTGACAAGTTCTGACCCAGAAGTATCTTGGCATTATTGGATATTAGCAAATATTTTTAAAAACAAAATAGCAAGTAACATTTAAGCCCTTCCTATGGGACAGATACTGTGATAAGTGCCTCATGTAATATTGGCTCACTTAATCCTCATAACAACCCTAATGGGAAAACTATTCTAATCTCTATTTTCTTTCTTTTCTTTCCTTTTTTTTTTTTACACTTAATCTCAGTATATCTTTACATCGTACAAAATGAATTTCCCCAGCATAAATACATTGTATATTACTCCAGTCAATATTACCGTATACATTATCCTCAACAGATAATTTTCCATTTTTTATGTTTGTTAAATGGTGGCTTTTTCTCCCCCTTGACTCTCTCCCTCCAGAGCTCCATTGCCCACCCTCCTCCCACACTGTCTCTAGTATCCACATAGAAACTCTCCATACTTTTATGCCTTCCAATCAGTTTCTGCTATAGAGTGCAGATGTTTAGTATATATCAAGTGAGGACATACAATTTCATAGTCTGGCTTGCTAATCTCCATATATGAAATAGGGAAATCTGAAAGTCTGAGCAACTTGTACCAAGTCACTCAGTTGGCTAATTGTAGAAGCAAAGATTTGAATTCATATCCCTGTGATTCCAGACCTTCCGCTCTATATTCCTTCTCTAAAGTACTTGAGGTCCAGGGCTTAATAACTATCCCAGCCAACAGAGTTGGTAAGTGATAAAGCAGGGATAGGGTGACTAAAGGGAGAGTGAATCTTTAGCCTACCTATGCAGTGACACTTCTTCTAGTATGAGTGGTGATCTTTTTGTGGGTTATGAAATCAATTTAATGGGTCATGAACAACATTCAAAAGCTAGAAAGAAAGGTAAGGGAGGAGAAAGAAAAAAAGGAAAGAATAGATCAAACTGCACCACATGTAGGTAGAATAGTATTATTTCATGAAACTCTTGTTCTGTTATATATGTGTGTGCTGGGTTGTTACAAAAAAATGTCTTTCTTACTGTGGATTGTAGTATAAAAAGGTGATTTAATTTCATTCGATCTCAGCAGTCATTAGGAAAGTGAAAATTAAAGTAGTAAGATACCACATTTTCAGATGAAAAAAATATGGAAACAACCCAAATGGCTATTGATAGAGAAATGAATGAATAGATTATTATATATGTATTCTACAGTGATTAAAGAATGGCTTAGATTTACACATATTAAATGAGAGCAATTTCCCATGATTAAGTAAAAGAAGCACACTACAGATAAATGCATGTGGTACGATTATATTTTTGTATAATAAATGATGAACCCCTCAACATAGAGGCAAACATTTGAGTGGTGGATCAGGTGAACTGGAAGAGGATTGAGAAGTAGAAGTAGAATAAAAGCTGTTGCTAACTAGCAAAAATAAGTGCGTATATCATTCAGGGCCCCATGAGAAACAGGATATATACAAATCATGTTAAGTAGTGAAGGGAATAATAAAGTGACCATTTACAAAGTTATAGGAAGTATTTAGGAAAACCAACAGAAGATCCTCCAGTCTCCAGGAACTGTAACAGCAGGAGCCATTACCAGCATCTGGTCTGCAGGGGCCAGAGGGCAGGGGAGTGGTTACCAGAATTTGGAGTGGGCAGCTCCACAGAGGGAACCTCCAGACAGACGTGTTGACCTTAGGAGGTGGAGGTGGCAACCTACTATAACTGGCAGGGAGGAAGCTGATTTCTCTCTCCTCCCACCCTCCACTGCCCTGTGGGTGTATACCATTAGCCAACCTAACTGAAGGTCAGAGGGCTAGGGGACCCATTGATATAGCCCACCAAGGTGACCTGCCCAGGACCTACCTGGACAGGGTCTGAGCAGCATAGAAAGTGCTATAGGGCAGTCCTACTGAATGGATGACAGCCTTCTGACTAGCAGAATATTAAAGGAAAAGATAGATTATAAATCCTTTCTGTCATTTTTTTATATGTAAAAATGAAATATTCACATGGATAAGAATTAAAAGGTTACCAAAGAAAATGACGATATTGATTTGTTTTTGAGATAGTATCAAGGATTTGGGTAAATTAAATCTATTAGCTCCAGTAATAATTACATTCTAAAGGCAGTAAAACAGACCTGAATTAAACCAGACTCTATCTTTCACTTGCTGTTTCCCTAACTTCTCATCTCTAAAATGAGAATAATGAACATATTTACTACATAGGGTTGCTGTAAGGATTAAATGAGTTAAGAGATTTAATTTTTTTTGAGAGTTTTTTTCACTATAGGGTGTGTGCGCTCGCCAGACAGAGACAGAGAGACAGAATAAAGACAGAAAGCAAGAAATCACCCCCCAGGAGGGATGGTCACGCCACAATCCCTTCTCCTCCATTCTCCTCTTCGGATCTTGGGCATGCACGCACACGCGCCTGGCATGAGTTTTAAGCCATTGGGTCCGGGACGCGAACTGCAGTCGACTAGGTGGGAGTCCAGCGACATAGCCATTACGCTAACTGCTGGTCCTCCAATGAATTAAGAGATTTTGAGATCTTAGAAAAGTAGTTGGCACATAATAAATGCTTTCAGTGTTTGCCATTATTATGTGATGTCAACAACCTCTCAGTGGGTCCACTTGTCCCCATCCCATCTCCCAAGACTGTTTACCAGCCAGCCAGAGAAAGTTCCCTGAAAGGGCACACCTGATCTTGTCGCACTATTCCTTAAAATTTGTCAGTGGTCTCCAAACCTTTCAGGTCTCCACTTTCCATACTGTGGCTTCACTCTAGTCATACTGATATGTCTGGTTCTGTATAAGCGCCGTCATATCCCATAGAGCTTTGTCGAGAATGCCTTTTCCATACCAGGTCATTTTCCTACTTTGCTATCTCTTAATACTCATAATTTAAATTGAAAGTGTCACCTCCTCTGAGAATACCGCCTCCACCCCCACTCCCAGTTTGATTCAGAGCAGTTTCTTCCTCATCCCACAGCATCCCATACAGGCTGTGTCATGCTAGTCTCCAACTTATGAGAGAGGTTCCCTCAATAGCAATGGGCCCCTCAAAGGTAGCAATGATGCCCTTTGTCTCTGGAGCCCAGCACAGAGTCGAAAACCTACTGAGAGCAGAAAGGATTAAATTTATAAAAGGAACAAGGTAAGTAACTTAACTGACCCAAAGTCACTCAGCTAAGTAAGTGGCAGAGCCAGAATTCAAGCTTAGCTCTTCTTGACTCCAAAGGCTACCACTGTCCTCAACCATATGGAAGTTCTAAGGCTGCTCTTGACACTCTGGAGTAGTTGCATGCCTGAGGGAAATCCCAGGGGCACTAGACCAGCTCAGGCCAGAATGAGCCGGTCAGCAGAGACCAGGGAAGGATAAATGCCTCTTTTCTGGGAGAATCAATCACATGACATTTGCTTTATCAAGGGACTTTCCCAAGAAAATCAATTTCTGGAGCATGTTAAAATACAAACAAACCACCACCCACCCACCCACTCCTTAAAGACAATTGGTCCAAAGAGAGCTTAGAGAATTCAGACAATTCCACAATGTTGAGAGCACCATCTGATCACATGAACTTTGTTTTCCCTAACCAAGAATTTTTCTACTGAATTTTTATTTTAAATTTGACTACACTGTGAAATTTCCATCCCCATACTCTATTGTTTCACTCATGGCTGAACGGTGTATATGGGCACAGATACACTGGGGATGCCTGGCACAGGCACCATTTGAGATTTGCTCTTGCAGCTTATGATGTTACCAGAATCCCTTGATAACAGTGTTTATATCTATTTATAACTGTAACCTATTATCCTATTTTCCATATAATTGGATGCGACTGAGGTTAAAAAAAAATTTCAGCTGCATAAGAAAAGTCATGCACTTACAGAGTAGATGTTTGCTCAGCATGGAAAGTGAATTAGCCTTTAACACAAATAACCCAGAAACACATAAGTGCTTCTAGAAAAGACACTGATGTTAATATTTTTCATTAAAAATAATTTAAAGATAAACGATGTTAAGAATGCAAGGAGGTAGCCATAGCTGGTTTTTAAAACAGATGTTACTTTTACCTCTTTCAGGTATGACGGTGCTACCAATGGAGGTGTCGGATTCATTCTCCAGTTCAGGGCAGAGAAAAATGACTCATAATTTATTTGCTTTTCACTGTCTTCAAACCTGAAAATACAATGAATATATGATTTGACTCATTTTGCAGAATTCAAAACTAAAATGCCAACTTAAAATTGACTGTAAAAAATGTCATGTATGAGTCAGTATCTAAATTTTTCTTTTTCTTTCTTTTTTCTTTTTTTAAAAATTATTTTATTGGGACCAGCAGATAGAATAGTGGTTGCGTCACTGAACTTCCACGTGACCGACCACAGTTGAAGTCTCTATGGCAAAAAAAAAAACTCTAAATTTTTTAAATTTAACTTTATCATTATCATTATTACTATTATTTTAGAGAGATTTTTGCTATAGGGCACATGTGCTCACTGGAGTGACAGAGAGAGACAGAGAGACAGAAAGTGAGAAATAGCCCCCAAGGGGGAGGCCACGCCACAAATCCATCTCCTCTATTCTCCTCTCAGGATCTTGGGCACACACTCACATGCGCCTGGCGTGAGTTTTAAGCCGCTGGTTCTGGAACTTAAACCACAGTCAACTACATGGGAGTCCAGCAACGTAGCCATTATGCCATTTGCTGGTCTTGATGATTTTACTTTTTAAATTTGTTACAGGGCACATGTACTCACCAGAGAGAGATAGAGAAAGAGAGAGAGAGAGAATGAGAAGGCAAGCCTCCAGGTCCAGGTCTCAAACTGCAATTGGCCATGTGAGAGTCCAGTGCCTGAACCACCATGTTAACCCCTCTTTTCCTTTCTTTTAATTTCCAGAGGATGTGTGCACAGAGAGAGACAGGAAAACAGTGAGAGAAAGAAAGTATCTCTCAGTGGAGGATGGTCACACTGCAATCCTTTCTCTTCCATTTCTCCCTCCTGTCAGAATGCAAAAGTGTGTTTTTCAAGCCCCAGGGCTGGGATTCAAACCATGGTCAGCCATGTGGGATCTAGCTCCCCTAATTCCTAGACTACTAGGCTAGCTCTATCTGATTATTTTTTCTTATTGTATGTTAGTTTATCTGCTTCTGACCTTCCAGAATGTAAATCCTTTTTTTAAAATAATTATTTGTTTTATTTATTCATTCATTTTTTAATTTGACCAGAGAGAGATAGAGAGTGAGAGAGAGAGGAAATGAGGAAACAAGCCACCAGATTCAGGACTCGAACCCTGGTCAGCCATGTGGGAGTGTCCAGGGTCTTAACCACCACGCCACCTGCTGGTCCCCCAGAATGTAAATCTTTGACATAAGGATCTCACCTACTTAATGCACCAAAGTATCCCCAATACTTAGATCAGTGTTTGCAGTTAGTAGGTATTTAATAAATAAATATTGCCGTTGCTATAGAAATAAATGTGCTTATTCAGTAACTAAGATTACTGCTATATTTTTAAAAGAATATTTGAAAGGGGCCAGCAGGTGGCATGGAGGTTAAGGTGCTGGACTCCCACATAACTGACAGCAGTTTGAGTCCGTGACTCGGCAGCTTGAAAATAAGTGTGTATATCTACAAAATCCCAGGAGGAGAATGGAGGCGAAGGAATTGCAGTGTGGCCATCCCTCCTCAGGAGTGATTTCTCACTTTCCTTGTCTGTCTCTGGCAAGAGCACCCACCCTATAACAAAAACCTAAAAAAATAAATAAATAAATAAATAAAAATAAAAATTTTTTAATGGTTGATATGTCAGTTAAAAAATACTAGGGCCAGCCTGGTGGCCTAATGGTTAAGAGGGCTGGATCCCACATGGCTAACTATGCAGTTTGAGTCTCAGATCCAGGGGCCTGAGAAACATGCTGGGTGCATGTGCATGCATACAGAAAATCCTGACAGAATGGAGAAATGGAAGAGGAGGGACTGTGGCCTGACTATCCCCCATTGTGGGACGTTTTTCTCTCTGTCTCTCTGGCAAGCACATGTGCCCTTTGGCAAAATTTTTTAAAAAGTCCTCATATTTCTTAGATTGCATGCCTTTAAATCTTTAAGGCAAGCCTAGCTTCATTTTGTCTACTAGTATATTTTTAGGAAAAATAAAAGGCACCTTTATCATTTATTAGGTAGCCACTAAAAGGGGTTATTTAAATTCATATTTGCCATCATGGAAATATGTCCTTCATATATTGTCGAGTGAAAAAGAGGTTTTCAAATAAAAAGTAGAGTTATGATCCTACTTTAGGTTTATATTTATATAAAAAGGCATAGAAAAGAAGTCTAGTAATAAGAAACAAACGTATAGAGAAGACCTATTACTGGGAAGACGGACTAAGAGTTTTGCTTTTTATTAGGCTTTTCTATATCATCTGAATTATTTAAAATTTATAACCAAAAATTTAATTTCATGTTCACTTTGAAAAAAAATTATCCTGCATCTTAAAAATATAGGTCAAAAATAACAATCTCTTTGACCACTATTTTCTAATTTTGGACATTGGCTTAAATTCATCTGTAACTATAATAGAGTGGTTTATAAAAAAGAATTATTTATTTAATTTTATTTCTTCTTATTATTTTTAATTTGACCAGAGAGAGAGAGAGAGAAAGGGAAAGTGAGAAAGTTAGCTGCCAGGTCTAACTTATTTCTTTTATTTGTGTATCTTTTGGTAGAAGTACTAAAGCTCAATTAATTAAAGATGTCTTGTAAGAAAGTTCTTTAGCATGCACCTTGAAGAAAGTATTTTCTAATACTCTAAGCAGGAGCTAAGGTCAGTGAAGGAGATCATGGAGAACTTTTGACTTTTATTCTGAAGAAAATTAAGAGCCATAAAATATACTGTACGAAAAAAGTTAAGGGACCTGCAATATTCTAAATATCTGTGTCCTTCTCCCCAAAATTCACAAGTTGAAACCTAATCACCAATGTGATGATACTAGGTGTGGGGTTTTGGGTGAAGCACAGATCATGAGGGTTCTGCCATCATGAATAGGAATAGTGCCCTTATAAAAAAGATCCCAGACAGTTCCCTTCTGCTTTCTGCCTTGTGAGAATGCAGAGAACATGTTATCTATGAACCAGAAAGCAGGTTTTCACAAGACACCAAATCCATTGACACCTTGATCATGGACTTCTCAGCTTCCAGAACTGTGAGAAACACATTTCTGTTGTCTTAAAACTACCTAGTTTATGGTATTCCATAGTAATAATCTGAATGAGCTAAGACAGGACCTAACATACTTTCTAAAGATTACTCTGACTGATATTTTGAGAGTAGATATAGGGGTAAGACAGAAGCGGCAATGGCAGTGAGCAATCTCTTGCCGTAATCCAGACAAGATAATGACAGCGTAGATGTGGGTGGTGGCAGTGGAGGGTAGAGAGAAGTGATCAGTTCTAGATATATTTTGAATGTAGGTTTCTTGGAAGATTGTATATAGTATGCAAGAGAAAAGAGGATGATTCAAAATGACCCCAAGACTTCTGCTTAAGCACCTAGAAAGATGGAGCTGCCCTGTCTGAGATGAGGAAGACTGTAGGGTCAGCAAGTTGAGGTGGAAAAACATGAGTTTAGTTTTGCATATGCTACGTTTTTATGGGAAGTGAGCAACTGGGGCTGTTAAGTCTGAAGCTCAGGGAAGAGGTCCATTTGATGATATAAAATTGAGACTCAAACAGATGAAATTTAAATCCATAAAGCTAGGAGACTGAATGAGATCATCATTGAAAGTTGTTTTTATTTTTAAGAGGTTTTGATATAGGGTGCATGCGTTCGCCAGAAAGACAGAGAGAGACAGAGCAACAGAAAGTGAGGACTCATCCCCCGGGGGGATGGCCATGCCGCAATCCCTTCTCCATTCTCCTCTCAGGATCTTGGGCACACACGCACACACGCCCAGTGTGAGTTTAAGCCACCCCGTCCGGGACTTGAACCACGGTTGACTACATGGGAGTCCAGCGACATAGCCATTACTCCAACTGCTGGTCCCAAAAGAAGTTTTTCTATCTGTTCTTACAATATAGATATAATTTTCAGTAAATTCCCTTACATCAATTATAGGAGGCATTTATTTGATCCTAGAGGTTTCAGAAGCATAAAATCTAGTTAAAAGACTACCAGATAGGTTCAAGATCACAACAGACTTCATTCTTCATATACAACCCACTAAGTGGTCCTGTGGGTTCTACCACCATAGTATATTTCGAGTCTATCTATTTCATATCTCTTTTACTTCTCCCTAATTTCAAGTCACTATCACCCCTCACCTGGATTATAGCAATAGTTTCCTATCTTCATATTGCTACTTCTATTATTTTTAATATATACTTTTTTAATTTTAAAGGTGAGTGTGATAGAACCAAGAGAGAGAAAGCACCCCTTCAGTGGGTGTGGTCATGCCATAATCCTTCCTCTTCTATTTCTCCATTCTGTCAGGATTTGGGAGATACACATGCATCCAATGTTTTTCAAGTTTTGGGGCTGGATCCAAACTGCGAAGTTGGCCATGTAAAATTTTACTCCCTTAATCATTAGACCACAGGGTTGACCCAGTATTTCTATTCTTACCTTACTGCAGATCATTCTCTACCAGAAGGATCTTTCTAAAACATAGATCAGTTCAATCATTTCCTCACTTGTTATCCTCCAATGGCTTCCCAATCCACTTAGAACAAGAACTAAACACCTTATCAGGGTTTATAAGACTCAGTTTAATCTGGTTCCTGCTGACCTCTCTGATCACATCTCCTCACTAAAAACTCTCTCTCTATTCACAATATTCTAGGTTCATTGGCTTTCATCTAGTTCCCTGAGCATACCAAGATTGTTTTCAGAAATGCAAAGCATGTGAACCTTCTGGTCTTTCTGCCTGGAACATTACAATTCAAATGTCGCTTCCTTAGAAAGGTCTTGAAGCTCCTCTTATCTGAGCCCCTATGCCTGAATTTGCATTTTCCCTAGATGATGGCATTAGAACTTACAAGGGAATTCCTGGAAGTCAGCTAGGAAAGTCCTATTATTTGACTTTGTTACCACTAACTCTGATATTTATTCATGCTTACCCGTTGCCTCCTAACACCTAGCCTTCTTCCCTACCCAGCTCTTCAATATGTCAGACTCAACA